ACAGTTGACACTCAGAAAGGAGACTGTCAGTAGTCCCAGGAGATGGAATTAAAAAATATACACATACATACATATATGTATGTATATAAATTTTTTTAACTTCAGTGAAAACTTTACTTTTATCTCATGTTAATTTATCTTTAAAGCTAAAGTAAAGCTCTAGAGGATTCTAAAAGGTCCTTTATAGCAGGGTGGGAGTGAGCCTTGGGCAGGGTTCTTTTTGTTTTGTTTTTTTCTTCTTGGTACTGGGTATTAAACCCAGCAGTACTCAACTCCTGAGCCACAGGGCTCTTTTTTATATTTTTTACATTTTATTTTGAGACAGGGTCTTGCTGAGTTGCTTAGGGCCTTACTAAGTTGCTGAGGCTGGCTTTGAACTCTGGATCCTCCTGCCTCAGCCTCCTGAGCCACTGGGATTACAGGTGTGCTGCCACCATACCTGGCTTGGGCAGGGTTTCCTCATGAGTTTTAAGTGAGCCAGAGGAAGCACGGTGCCAGCTGGGACTGACATGTGCCCCTCTGTCCCCTGCCCAGGTTCCTCCGACCAGCTCCATGGCCGGTCCGAGAGCTTCAGCAGTGAAGACCTGATCCCCTGCAGGGACCCGGCCACGCTGCCCCGGGAGGCTGGTGCTCCAGGACGCAGTGCCCTTGGCCGCCACGAGAACCCCCCGACACACAGGAATGCGGCCCTGCTCGGCCTCCCCGAGCAGCGAGATGGTCACCTTGGAGGAGTTCTTGGAGGAGAGCAACCGCAGCTCCCCAAGCCACGTGAGTACCAGGCAGGGCTGTAGGCGGCCGGGGCTGCCCCTCACTCCGCTCGCTCAGGACGGGGGTATGGGGGATGTAAGGCCTTAGGCAGGACTGGCCTGGCGGTGGCAGGAGCCGGCGGGTCACTAGGAGCTGCCCACGGGCCCCAGACAGCAGGTGCTGCTTTCCTCCATGCTTGAAGTGGGCTCACGGCCTGGGGCCAGCACCCCATTGCTGGTCAGGACGTCCTGCCAGGGGTCATGGCATGGCTCCGAGCACCTGCTTACCTGCGTCCCCAGCAGCAGGTGGCAGAGGGTAAATACTTTAGACTTTCTGGGTCATGTAGTTCAGTTGTAGCCACTCAGCTCTGTCACCATAGAGAAGTAGACACTGGCCAGTGTCGGTGACTAGGCCTGCCATCGGACAGAACTTGTCTTAAGGACACTGCATTTGGAATTTCATATGATTTTCTCGTTATAAAATGACTTTTCTTCCTTTCCTTTTTTTTTTTTTTTTAAGAGCAGTACTGGGTGCTCTACCACTGAGCTTCATCCCCAGCCCTTTATAATTTTTTTATTTTTTGAGACAGGGCCTCACCAAATTGCTGGAGTTGGCTATGAACTTACAGTCCTAGCTAACTTTCTCCTTAATATTTTTGTTCAATCGTTTAGAAATGTAAAAACTATTCTCGGCTCATAGGCAGCGTGAAAATGAGTGGCAAGCTGACTTGGGCATGTGGCTCCAGGTACTGACCCCCGTACTGGTGCTCCTCCTCAACTCCACTTGCAGACAGACCCTTCTCTGTCACCTTTCCAGCATCCCTGCATATAGCTTTTGTGTGTTGGATGTGCTCTGTCTGAACTCAGTAACGTGATCAGCCCTAGAAGAGCACCTGGGTTACTGAGTGAAAGAATACCCTGTCTTGTCATGGAGACCTGTTGAAGACTTAGTATTTCAGTCTTTCCATCTAATTGGGCTGTGTCTACCTCTCTGATCTAGGTGAACGTGGCCCAGTAGCACAGGGAACATAAACGTTTGCCTGGCGGGTGTTTATTGAGCACCTGCTGTGTGCGGGGCAGCATGCATGGTGCCTGCCCTTGAAGCAAAGCCAGCCAGCTCCCAGCAGCTGGCAGTGTCCACCTGCTCAGTGCCTCTCCTTGCAGGAGACAGAGACTGGAGGCGAAAGACACGATCCCTGTTCTCCCTTTGCTCCTGTTTCTGTCTACCAAGGGCTTAGTCTGCAAGGAGCCAGAGACCAAGCTAAGACAGCATCCCTGCCTTTGGGGCCCACGGTCCGTGGGGTGATCCTCAGGCAGGAGTGTGCCTCGGAACTGCACGGTGGGCCTGCCAGACACAGGCCAGCCCCTGGGTTTCTGTCAGTCTGAGGTAGCACCGAAGATGTGTGTCCTTAGTAAATTGCTGATGATGCTCTGCTGCTGTCCGGTTCCCAGCCTTGTGAGCACGCCAGCCTGGCGGGTTGAATAAGAGCGGCCCAGAGAGCCCCGATCCTCTGTCCCGTCCTGCCATGCTTCCTTCCCTTTGCAGATCTTGGGTTGGGGGGTTCTGAGCTCCCTCCTGATCAGCTCAGACCAGTCCCCGTGCTCTGTGGTAGCACCTGTCCCTTTTCAGCTTAAAGGAGACGGCACGGTCTCCCTGCAGCAGCGTCTGTTAGAGTCTGATGCAGGGCCCTGTGCAGACAGCAACCTCCCCACCTGGAGAAGTCACGGAAAGGGACTCCACCGTGCCTCTGCTCCCCGAGTGTCACTGATGCTGAGAGCAGGTGCCTCAGGATGAGGCTCCCTGGGTGGATGGCGAGCGTGGTCTCCTGAAGGTGGTGTCACACTCCGAAGCGTGACAACACAGACACGTGCTGCGTGTTCTTGCTTATTTGTGGAAGCTGTGAAGGCTGGTATTGAGGAAGAGACTAGAAAAGTAAATGCCGGCGGGCACCAGAGGGCGGCCAGAGAGCAGGTGACAAGAGCCAAAGAGATGAGTCGGTCCTCATGTTCCCCGGCACCCAAGGGTGACTGCAGAGTGTGTTTGTGAAGACCTAGGAGAGGAGTCTGAGGGCTCCAGACACAATAGTGAATGAGGAGGTGAAAACGTGCACCTCCCTGGTTGAGTCACACGTTGGATATGTGTCCTGAATCATCACACTGTCCCCGAGAACGCGCAGTGATCGTGAGTCCATCTCTAAGGAGAGCAGCGGCTGGCAGAGAGGAGCAGCAGGAGTGGGGAGAGGCCCTGGAGCCGGCAGCCTGGGGCCTCCACCCCTGGCCAGCCGCGCTCTGGCTGCGTAGTGCTGACCTCCACCGCCACTGCCTGGCCAGCCGCAGGTGGCCCAGCACGCACTGCGTGGCCCTGCCAGGCTGCAGAGAATGCAGTGAGCATTTTGGCAGATACACACGCAGCTCCCAGAACAGCGCTGGCCACCGTGGGTGATACATGGCTCCTTAGGATATTAATAAGCAGGTCTCACTGGACATGCACCCAGGACCTGCGGCATAACATGGCGGAGCACATCGCTGTCCGGCTGTGTGGCAGGTGTTTTCATGGGGCAGGGGTGGTTGGCGGGTGCAGGTGGCTCCTGAGCTGCTGATCTGCCTCCAGATTGGCACAGCAGGCCGGTGCTGACCCTCATATCCCCTTCCTCCTCTTCCTGCATCCACCAGCCTCCGGGCAAACCTTACTTGGCTGCTTGTGCCAGGCTGAGAGGAGTGGGCAGAAGGCTGCAGTGACCCAGAGTCATAGGTCTCTATATCTAGGGGCTCTGCCTGCTAAACGGTGGCAGAGGAGGCCAAGCCCGGGTGGCAGCTACTCTGCCTGGGCAGCCGGTTAATGGGCAGCTGTAGGCTGGGCTGTCCTGTGTAGCTTCCTGCCTGGGCAGCCTGGCTATCCCCTCTGGCCTCCTCCTGCCCCCTCTGTCTCCCCGTCTCTCTTTCTCAGCCCAGAGAATGTCCTTGTGACATCTCTGGGCCTGCTGGAGTGACAGGGAATTCCATCACACTCCCCCCACCCAGCACCTACTCTGCAGGGCAGAGAAAGGAGACAGATGGGAGCAGCGGTAGTGGGGCTCTCGGCACCCACCACAAGGTGGGCTGGCTGTGCGCGAGGTCCTTGTCCCCACTGGGTCAGCATTCTTATCTGCAGGGCTGGGGGCTGTCTGGAGCCTCTGGGGTTCTTTGCCCAGGGATGCCCCATTTCCTGACCGTCCTGACCCTTTCTGGGAGCGGGTCCTGAGGAAGCCCAGCCTGAGTGGGAGACCTCATTCCTGCTGAGTGGACTCCAGGGCACATCCTGGCTCTGAGGACCCAGCGGCCCCCATCCCACCTCTCCACACCTTTCTCCTCTGCAGGACACTCCTCCCGGTTGCCCGGATGACCTCCTGCTGAGAGACTACTTCCGAACAGCCAATAATTTTGTGGCCATCAGAAGCCTGCCGGGACCACCTGCCAGGAAGGAAGGGGCCAAGATGCCCGTCAGCCATGTGGCCCCAATCAAGATGGCCATTGGCACCCCCGAGGGGAAGCAGCCGAAGCCTGGACATTACATGAAGCCAAACTTCAGGCCAGCTGAGGCGGAAGCCCCGGCCAGTACACCCCCCAGACAGGCCCAGCCTCCCCAGAGCCTGTCCCTGGGCAGACCCCGACAGGCCGCCGCGTCCTGCACCTCCCACACATCTGCCAGCCGGAGTGCGTCCCTGAGCCGTGCCTTCAGCTTGGCCTCAGCTGACCTTCTGCGGGCCAGCGGGCCAGAGGCCTGTAAGCCAGAGTCCCCTCAGAAGGCGGGGGGTCTCGAGGCCTCGGGGGGCAGAGAGACAGGCAGCCACAGCCTGCACAGCCCCACACCCCCCAGCTCCCACAGCCTGGCGCGGGAGCGGACCCCACTGCAGGTCTCAGGCCCCCGTAGCCGGCCACTGGACATGAGGCGCTTCTCACTGGCTCCTCCAAAGGAGGAGAGGCTGGCCCCCCTGCAGCAGTCCGCCACAGCGCCAGCCATTGCCATGGGAGGTGGCAGTGGCAGTAGCTCCCAGCTGCAGCACTTCTCACCTGTTGCCACCCCAACTGCCAGGACCAAGCCCAAAATGTCCCCACATCCAGGGGAGGTGGCCACCATCGCCCCTGTCCGGGCAGGGCTCAGCGGCTCAGAGGGAGATGGGGTTCCAGGGCAGGGCTATAACGAGGGGCTCCCCGCCAAGAGCCCTGGGAGGTCCCCTGAATCAGGTCCTCACGGCACCCGGGGCCCCGAGGACCTCAGTCGAGGGGGCAGCTCCAGGAGTGCACCGGCGTCCCCAGAGCCGGGTGGGGACCCCCAGACGGTGTGGTATGAGTACGGCTGCGTGTGACTGGTCTGGAGGGCCGGCAGCTCCCGAACCTCAGACTGCTGAGCCGCCTTCTGATCCCGAGGCCCTTCTCCTGGTGCCTGCAGGGCTGGGAGAGGGTGAGGAGGAAGGGGTCCCCACGCCATGGTCCGGTTTGTTTCCCGAACACGGTGCCAAGCCCCAAGGGGATGACCGCCAGGTGTGTGATGCGTCTTCTATACCTGGAGCTTCCTGCCGGCTGCTGGTGGCTTTGGAACAGATCCATTTAGCATGAGGGCCACTTAGAAAGCGGTGACAAATCCGACCTGGCCCAGAGCAGACACTATTTGAGTGGACCCTGGTAGAACACTCGTGTGCAAACCATTGACTTCCGTTAAAAAATGCACATGTGCTCGTGCACGCACACAGCAGGCTCACAGGCTCATCCCTGGTGGGTCTGGAAACGACTCCCCAAGGCCATTGGATCCTGGGAACAGCCCAGACAGGTCCAGTACAAGGACCTGGATTTCCTTTGCCCCAGGGCCATGCCCTCAGGTCTGCGAGGCCTGGGCATTTGTTCTCTCCTCCAGTTGGTTCTGGGGTCCCCAGGCCACCCAGGGACCAGCCTTCCTAGCTCAATTTCTACAAACACTGGATCTGCTGGGCCTGGGCCGGGGGTGCAGAGATGCCCCGGCCCTGTCCCAGGAGCGAGCGTGGGCGGGGGAGGCCTGTGCACAGAGGTGCCTGCTTGGCTTGTGGTAGAGCTGCAGCACCCGGCTTCCCCATCTCAGGTGGGATGTTGATTTCTGGATAATTTGGGGGGGGGTTTAAAAACCAAATTTCTTTTAATATATATGTACACGCTCGTGAAATATATATACTTTGGGGGATCTATTTATGTTCCTTTGGGAGTCATTCCTTCAGGAATCGTACCTGCTGCTTTGTGTATTTGGTCAGATTCCTGACGCGTTTAGTTTTCCTATTGTAAAGGTGCTTTTCCTGGGATGGGCTAAACCTATTGACTTTTTAAAAAGATTTCCCCCCCCTTTTGATTTAATGTGCTGAGAAAGAAATGGGGAGACTTTTGAATGTTAACAGGATCCACTGTGGGAATGTTTCGGGTGGCGTGTTAAAGAGCCATCATTCTGGAACACAGGACAGGGTTGTAATAAAGCAGAACAGAACAAGCGCGTCCTGGTCTCTTCGCCACGTGTTGTTGGTACCATCCTAGCGTCCAGCAGGCTGCACGGCTCCGACTCCCTGCTTGGGTCCTGGGGCTGTCCCACGGACCAGGGGATTCATAGCTACTTTGGGGCTGCTGCTCCACGGACCAGACGAATGTGAAGCGCACATCTGCTGTACAGTAGCCACACCCCCCACCCGTGTCAGCGACAACTGAGTCCCATTTTGACAGGGAGCTCGGCTGGAAGTGGTGCCTTTGTGACCTTCCCGAGGCTGCTCAGCTCTTAAGTGCTGGGTCTGGGATTTGGACCTGGAGGGCCTCAGGTGAGGTGGATAATGAAGAGGGGAAGGGAGAAGACACCGGAGATGGCCACACGTGACCAGATCCTTTTACGGTTTTTCTGTCCCACTGTTGTCTCCTGGTCCTTCCTGCCTCCCCCGCACCCCCAGGGTTCTGCAATCTGTCCCCATATCTGGCCTCTTGGTGGGGACTGTCAGCCGTGCTGCTTCCAACCAGTCTAAGCCGTAGCCACTTTTCGGTCTTCATTCTGTGGCCTTTGCAGGTTTGACACCCCAGTCTGCTTGATGCAGTTGCAGCTTGATGGTCACAGCCCGTCTTCTGCACGGCTTTCACCCTCTCAGCTGCTTGCTGCCCTCATCTGCTACCTCCTTCCTGCTGCCACTGTCCACGGCTTGCGCAGGGCCCTGGGTCCTCCCTCAGCTTCTCTTCCACGTACCCCACAGGACACCAGCAGGTGTTGGCCTCCAGCCTGGGCCTCCCCTGAACTTGAGGCCTGAAGTCACTACCCGCCTGACTACTGGCTTCCTCAGCTAACACCCACCCCCATGGTCCCTCATTCTTTGTCACAACCTGTCCCATCCTGGACCCAGGGATTTGTCTGGAACCTGCCAACTGTTTTTGTCCCAGGTCACAACCTCCGACCCTAGGACTGACCTTAACCTGTCAGCCTGGCTTTCTCTGGTGGCAGTTCGGGGAGGTCAGCAAGGAAAGGTCCGGACCCCAGCTGTCCTACATCAAGCAGGAAGTGAGCCCCAGGGCTCTGTGCGTCAGCTGCCGTCCTCCATTCTTGTGTGCTCAGGGAGAGGGCTCCTGCTAAGGTCACCCGTGTCACCAGTCCCCAGGGCACTCCTCAGTCGGGTGGCCTTTCTGGAGCAGTTCCCTCCCTGGGCAGCCACACCCAGGCCTCTGCAGACCCGGGCCTCAGAGCGGCTCACCTCAGGCACACCCTGCCTGCTCGTCACTCCCTGTCCCCACAAGCTCCTGCACACACATGGTTCTAATTACCAGCTACTTCCAGAAGGCTGCAGATCCACGTGTCCAACCTGAGTGTCCCAAACGCACCTCAGATGTCCCACACCCAGCCCACCTCTCCCCTGCCCCAGTAAACACCCAGAGGATGTTGACCCCTGCTCACTCTTCCTGTGTCCTATCCATGTGGCCATCGACCATGGGCAGCACCCTGGGGTTCAGTGGCAGGGGGGAGTCCCAGCTCAGGGATTTTCTTTTTTTTTCTGGCGAGTGTGTGTGTGGTGCTGGGGATTGAACCCAGGGCCTTGCTCATGCAAGGGAAGCCCTCTACCAACTGAGCTCCATCCCCAGATCTTGGATTTTGCCTTTGCATACTTGTAGACAACCTCCAGATGCTTCTGACATGGCTGGGGCCCCAACATGAATGAATGCTGGTTGGTGTTTTCTGTGTTAACCAGATGAGGGGACACCTCAGAGGCCTGTGTCAGACGTCATGGGCTGATGACCTGCGTGACCTTGCTGAATCAGTTTATGAATGTGGGATGAACCTCCTCAGTTTTTCATGCTGTTCCCGCCGTGATGGCCTCACGTGTAGAATGCGTCAATCTAAGATTAAAACAGAACTCACCAAAGTGCCCACCCAACACACTTTTAAATTTAACATTTTTTCCATTTACTCTCTTACGTCTAGAGATGCAAAAGCATTAACTGCGCCCTGGATTGACATTGGCCCGTTTCAGTGGTGTAAATATTCTCGCCGTGGCTGATGTCAAGCTGCCATTACAAAGTCACTAGACATGGGCTGGGAAGGGGTGCGCGGCACACCCCACTGTGTCACCTCACCACCGCCCAGATACAGGCATGAATGACCTCGAAGGCGAGGAGCTGGCAAAATAGTTAGGAAGTAGTGAACTTTGAGTATTTGTTACTTTGGCTTCTAATTTTTCATTGTGGGTTAATCGAAGTCCGTTTTTAGTAATGGCTGTTTAACAACCGGCTTGCAGAATTGCTGGAATTCAGCAGTCGGCTCTCACAAGCCAGAATAGGCCAGCTCTGGCCCACCGTGAGGGGCACCATCTCCAAGAGGTGGCCTAAGAGGGAGGGACAGGAAAGCAGGAGGAGCAAGCAGAGAAGGTCGAGGCACCGAGGGTCGGCGGCTGTTCCCTGGTTTCCTCCCATTTCTCCAGTCCTAGAGGGCACCAGAGAGGGGTGGAACGAAGGGACCAGATTTGAAGTGCCTAGTGACGTGGGCCCTGTGGTGGGCACAAGGCAGAACAGTGGGCCTCCTCCAAGCTCAGCCGCCTTCTAGCTCGGCCCTGGAAGAGCCTGGGTTTGAGAGGCATGGTCTTCTACACGGGGCACACAGAACGGTCCCTTGGGCCCATCTGTGTCCTGAAAACTGTCCTCCACCCTCTCACCTTGCCCTTCCCCAGGGAGCAGTGTGGCTGGCGGGGAGGGGGAGCCGGTCACCTCTCTGTAGTGGGTGGTGGTCTCCACAGCCAGAAGCCGGCCAGAGTCGGGTGGGGTGTGCCCTGGCAGGACCTGCTGGGTGCCTGGGGAGGCAGGGGACACACAGGGCTCGTGGCCTGGGGGTCTGGCCCAGAGATTAAATCCAGGTGTCTCTGCTCAGGCTGGGAGCTGGCAGAGCGGCGCCTGGTCCTGATCTCTCCACCCCCAGAGACCACAAAAGCACAGGGAAGGGGCTTCCCAGCCTTGGAATCCTCTGGGCCTGTCCAAGCTTCCGACATGAGGACCATGACCCTCACGAACCCTTCTGGAGGTCACACAGTCCCCAGGCCATTGTGGGGTGGGGACTGCCCTGCCTGCTTTTGTGTCCACAGGACCTGCTTTCCTGTGAGTCTGGGCGCCCTCCGCCAGAGGAGCCTGGGCCTCCTACAGGGCAGGCCTGACCACGGCCAGCCCAAAGCCAGGCGCTCGGGTCACTGGAGCCAGCATCCAGGTGGCAGCCCGGACTGACTGGGCGAGGAGAGCCCCCCGGGCAGTTCCCAGAGCAGGGAGGGACGCCAGAGGCTGGCGCAAGGGGACACGTGACCTCGGGCATCACTGGCTCCTCGGCTGTCCTGCAGCTAAAATCCAACTCCAGTCTCAGGGATAAAGAGAGGCCTCTGGGAGGGAGTGGAGGAGAGGGGCTGAGAGGCAGGCCCTGTCTCTCCAGGATCCAGGGGATGGGACCAGCCACCCAGAGGTGTGTCAGGAGGTCTTGGATTGGGGGGACTGTAGTCAGAGGGACCCTGGCCCAGGCTTCCTCGGTGGGGACAGATCTCAGAAGTCCCACACTGTCCAGGGCCTGGGCACATGTCCTGACCCTCCTAGCTGCGGCTAAAGTGCAGGGTCCTGCCCTGGGGGAGCAGCCAGTAGCACCTGGGACAGCTGGGGAAGTGCCACCCCGCCCTGGCCCAGGGATTGGGGAGGAAGGTGGCAGGAGCCTTTGCTGGGTGCCGAGAGCTGGCGCCTCTCTCTCGCAGTATCACATTTAGCTCTCCATTTCTCCTCCATCAATTTCCTCTTTTTTGTCATTCATTCATTTAAATGTGCCCTCTGCTGGGTTTGGTCCTGGGGGTGGGTCTGGGGTAGGTTGCTGGGAGCTGGTCCCTGCCAGTTCATCTCAGGGGAAACAGGCTGCTGTAGTTCCTGCCCCAAATGATCAGAATCAAACACAGGGACCCCAGGAACACACCCTGAACCCAAGAGAAATCCCCACGCCCTCCACACGCCCCCCAACAATGCAAGGGCCCCTTCTGTAGGCACAGCCCAGTGTACACTAGTCACTGCAGGGACTCCCAGGGCACCTTCTGGTCTCCTTGCAGGTTCCAGTTTAGAATTGCCTCTTCCGAGCAGGCTGCCCTGACTGCCCCTCCAGATTCCTGCCTTTGTACCCTGGCCTCCCGTGACAAGGCCCCTCCCTGCCTATGAGCCTCTAGTTATGGTGGTCATCAGAACATTGCCACCGTTGTCTTGATCCTAGATTTTCCTTCTAAATTTCTCAAAAACCTCCGTCACTCAAGTTCCATTTCTATTATGTACATAATGTTTTCCTTTGAATATTTTACTTTGGAAACTGGATTATTGCAGAACATCTATTCTGGGAATAGAAACTTGCAATTCAGGACTGGCCCTCACTATTTTTAGATTCCCCGTTCTCTCCAGGGCAGAGCATATCACTCCCCAGGCCCCTTGGCACATCTCACATGGACCCCAGGGTCCCCACCTGAGGACACAGAGGAGCTGGGGCCTCATATTCTAAAACCCACTCCCAGTCTGCGCCAGCCTGCAGGGGAATCTCGACCCTCGGCCGCTCTCCCTCTGATCCCCCACCAGGACCAGCAGGTGTTGGGCTGAGATGCAACGGTGGTGGGGTGGGGTGGTGGCCGCTAAAGGAGGGGTCAGTCCCCGCTACTGAGGACTTGAGTCTCTTCATTTTCAACTGGACCTCAGGCCACATTCAGGACAAGGGGAGAAAAAAATATTTATTTTTAAAAGGAAATTGTATTCCACTCGAAACTGAGTACCCCCCCACAAAAGGAAGGTAGTTAGACAAAAGCAAGGAAAGCCAAGCCGTGCTCTTGAACCTCACCACCTGCTGCCTGTGGAACACGCCCAGGTCCTAGCACGCACCCCCACGGGGCAGCCAAGCTGTTCTCCCAAAAGACCAGAGGCTCCTGTGGTTCTCTATGAAGGCTCCTGGCCCTAAAGTCTAGGAAAGTTCCTCTTTGCCAAAC